TCTTGCACTATGAATATGAACCTAATAAGTGGATGAGAGACAGAGAGCAGAAGCAGAAGAAATTAATGAGCTTATTCTGCTTTTTATTAAAGTAAGAGAACAAAAGTGATCAAACTTGGACACTCCTGAAGCATATAGGTCCAATGTATTCAAGGTAACATAAGTATAAAAATGATCCATAACTGTTATTAAAAAAACTGTTCTATTTTTAAATATGCCTGGGCATTATCTCAGGTGCTTTCTTCCTGGAAACAAAGCTGGGGTTAGACTCAAATATGCATTAAGCTTTAATATCCAGACAACGTATAAACAATAGTCATTCATTAACCCTCCTGACCGTAATGAACAAGAGTGTACCACATACGAATTACTAAACAGAAACTTCTAAATATACAAACTCAGAATCTGTGCTGGAAACAACACAGAAACCACACAAAAGGTGTAGCTGCAAAAAAAATAACTAGTTTGCTTCACAAAGCAGGAGTTAAACAGTGTTGCTCTTTTAATTTCCATCATACTATGTATTACAGACAATTAGGACATACCTGCATGCCCATAAATGAAGAGCTGCTATATCTAGACTTGGATTTACTGCCATAATTGAGACATAGCATTTTAAAGCCATTGCTGGCCACCACAACTGTTACTATGATTTTACTGACCTCAGGAACTATCAGTGCCTTAGGTTCAAGCCAGCTCAAGTTGCAACAAGTGCTCTGTAAGCCCTTAGAAAATTACCATTCCTGCTCCCCAGAGCTCACGGTGTTACGGCTAGCTAGGTAACACCGTAAGTTTTTATCACTTTTAGGCTCCAGCGATCTACTGCACCTTTTAAACTTGCTGGCCAATGCCTTGATTCTAAGCTGCGTCCAGATTTTAACTCCAGAAGAAGAAATCTCACCGCTCAATTTCTACAGATATAATTAAGTTTTTATAGGCTCCAGCGATCTACTGCACCTTTTAAACTTGCTGGCCAATGCCTTGAGCCTTGACTTGGAGCACTTTTTTCCAGGAATGTGTTAAGTTCTTCCTGCCGAACATGTTGCTCAAAGGAAACCAGTCTGTTGCCTAAGAAGTGCAAAAGCAAGCTCAGGAGCTCTGGTTTTGGTTTGAGAAATGAACCCTTAAATTAATCTCATGTGGTGATCCAAACAAGAGACTGTCTGACACCACCCTCTCTCTAAACTGCGAGGAACAGATCCTCACCCCATGTAAACTGTCAGCATTTCTCTGGAGTCCTTGGTGTTAACTGTCAGCGCATCAAGGTCAGGATTTGCCTCGAGTCATTTTGTCTCTCAGATTAAAATATAAACTGAACACAGCTCAGGTAAAGGCATTTTTATACCTGTAATGGTAAATAAAAATATTCATGCTTGACAATACTCTGTCAAGAGCAGTAAGAGATTAGTCTGCCCTCTTACATGGCACACACTGCTTATCCTCTGAGCAAAGTAACGATCCAGCAATTGTTTGTAGTTACAGAAGATCTCCAGTTTAAATAGTGCCAGGTAGAAAGTGCAGATTAAGAGATTTTTCAGAATACTTCTCTCCCTCCTTCAGGAGTACATATACCACTCGGCACTGCTCAGGACTAAACAAATCAAACACTTGTAGAGACTTTTAAATTTCAACTTACCTGCGAGGCCCATTCTTTCTCATAACAAGTACTTTATTCATTCTAGTACGCACCCAGAGGTCTACTCAGGCAACAAGGACCTTCTTTTGGTGCATATGATGTCATGCATCTCCACTTTCTCTCATATGAATTTATACACTAAAATTAATTTCAGTGATACTTGTGCTGACACTGACAATACAGGAAATACACTTCAGACAAGAAGAGAACTAAAAAAGAAATCCAAATGAAAAACACTGCAGAAAAATTCAAAAAATTTGGAATTATTTTACAAAGCCAAAGGAATAAAATATGGTCAGTATAATCACACAGCCGTTCTCTGAAGGAAATATTTCCTGGTATCTTGGCCCTGTGTCAATGGCCCCATCTTGTGTCCCAGTTATTTTTAAAGCAGGCTTTACACAGTAAATAAGGATGGAGGTGGGGAAGAGAAGGGAAAAAAAACCCACCAGTCTCCTCTTAGGAAAATAAGACTTAATTAAAAAGTCTGCCATTGCTCTGCACTTAATTAGGGCTAACACAGCTGTTAATAAGTTTCTGATTGATAGTAAACCTGATGTCTGCACAGAAAACTACTTACTTGGTTCAAAGATGCTGATAGTTTCATACAGAAAAAAGATTCTGTTTTGTAATTGTGCATAATGTTAATATTTGAAACATCCTTAAGGGTGATTGTACCTATTAAAATTTCATATGTGAAATGAGAAATAAATGAATTGGTGTTGCATTTTTAAAGGATCAGATTACTGTTGATTAAAGCTTTGTCTACACTTGAAATTTCCCAGTAGAACAGCTCTACTGGTGGTTGTAATAATAGGAGGACAAGCAGAGGTAGGCTGCCAGCAACCGCTATTTAAATTACAGTTAGGCTGCCAAACCGCTATTTAAATTACAGTGTCATACAGACCTGATCTGTAATGGGTTACACAAGACTGTGGTTATGTATGTGGCTGTAACAGTTAATACCACCAACCTAGCTACTGTTACTGAGCATGTAATAGAAAAAAATGGAACAAAAGACAGTATAGATGCAGTCGGAAAGTTAGTGTTTGTCAGTAAAGCCGAGATACAGATCGGAGTATTTATCCACAACGTGGTAATCTGAATGCTACCACGAATTCTCACCCTAATGGAGAAGTTAAATATCAAGCAACAGTAAGTGAAGGGGAACACGAAGTGGAAGGACAGAGCAAGAGAGGTAAAGATGACTAAAATGATTTGGAAGTAGAGGAAGGAAGCATTTGAGGGTGGTAAACTTCATAGAAATAGGAGGGAGGAGAAACGAGCCTCTAGAGGAAAAGGAGAAATAAGAAATTCCCATGCAATCTACTTTTAATTTTTCAGTAACGTTCCTCCATGTAGCAAATACAGTGAAGAGACGAAAGTAAGCTCTGAGGCATAAAAGGGAAACACAGAGAAAAGCCACATCAAAAGGAGAAACAAGAAAGAGATTTGAGGAAGAAGAAAAGAAATCTTTTGACAAATGAACAAAATCAACAGAGAAAATGTAGGTATTGAAAAGGAGTTAAAAAAGACATAAAGAAAAAAAGAGGATAAGGAAGAAAAAGCAAAAATGCATGGAGTTTATTCTAAGAGCTCTGTTTTGTTTAACAAGGGGTTTAACACTAGGAGTCACTGACATAATGAAAGTTTCTTGTCCAGCCTTTGGGAAGATGATGTTCTACTCTTCTGCAACTCCAACACAAGCTCAACCGCTTGGTACCTCCCAACCGCTCTCATCCACAAACAGTCTGGCAATATCACCTTCGAGATATATCCAGCCCGTATCCTAATTCCTCACCCCCTTTTTTCCCTGACACAACTCAGCTTTGGGCAGGAGGAAGGTTACAAGCTGTGCATCTGACAGGCTGCTGCCCTCTTTCATGTGAGCCCACAGCCCTCCAGTGTACATCATCAAAATGCACTGATATGTCAGGACAACACTAGACATACACGAGACTTACACGGGGCAACACAGGGCATACATCTGGTTTGTGGCAAAAAGCATGAGGAGTTGTGGAAACAGAAATGTAGCTAGGCAAAACAGAACAACATACAAAATAAATCCAGGAGTGCAGAGGAAAGAGAAAAGGAGAATGAAATCGGAACAAGCGAGATCAAAGTCAAGTCTGTTGAGGACCCAGCCACAAAAGGTGTGCTCTAACCAAAATATCTTAAGATCGACAGAGCTGGGAAAGGATTTAATACCTCAGGATAAGAGAATGCACCTGTCATGGTTTAACCCCAGCCAGCAACTGAACACCACACAGCCGCTCGCTCACTCCCCCCTGGTGGGATGGGGGAGAGAATCAG